TCAAACCTTCTGACGTCCCTGAAGTTTTGTTTCTGTTCTCGGGTAAAATTTCTTTAAAGGTCAACAATCTTTCCTGACGATCTGCAAATTTCTCGGTAGTTCTACAGATTTCTTTGAAGTTCTGTGTGTTCTTCAGAAGTTTTAAGATCCTTGAAGATCAACAATTATCTCTGATGTTCACAAAATTTCTAATAATCTACCAAATTCTCGAAAGTTCTGTAGTTTTCTCTGCAGATTTTCATGATTCGATGAATATCTGCAAATATCTCAATACAATTTTCTAAAGAATGAAAAGATTATCTAGAATTTTTTTTAGCTTTCCTGAAGTTTTAGGGGTATCCTGAAGTTTTTCTAATTTTTCTGAAGCTGTGCAAATATCTCTAAAGATCAGCGAATTTACCTGAAGTTCTGTAAATGTTTTTCAAAATCCAAGAAACACAGTAAAATTCAGAAAATTTATTTAAACATCTGCTAATTTTTGAGTAGATTTACGATCTACCCTCTGAACTTTTCTGAAGTTCCTAAAATTTATTTCAAATTCTGTAGAGTTTTTTGAAGTACTGTATTTCTGCTCTAAAGATCTACGAACTGCCTTGAAGTTCAATAAATTTCACAGTAGATCTCCGAACTTTTCTAAAGTTCTTTAAATTTCTTTGTGGATTCTTGATCTAAAGATCGGCGAACTTTCCCTAAGATCTGTGAGTTTTGCTGAAGTTTTGCATTTTTTTCTAAAAACGTACGAACTTTCTGACGTTCTACAGACTTCTCTTAAGGTCTAAGGACTTCTCTGAAGTTCTTTAGATCTTTAGTACTTTAGTACTTAGCTGCGATTTGTTTTTGGAATTGATGTGCTTTTCATTTTCATTTGCATTTAACGAATTTTTCTGAAGATCTCACATTTGTGTGAAACTGTGAAACATTCTGTCAAATTCCTGCAAATATCTTTAAAGTTCTGTAAAGTTATCTTAAGCTCCGTAGCTCTATTCCCAAGATCTACAAAAAAAAACTTGAGGCTCAATAAATTTCTCAGTAGATCTGCAAACTTCTCTGATGTTTTGTAAATTCCTCTCGGGTTACCCTGAAGATTTGAAACTTTCATTGAAGATTACCTAAAGTGGTCAAAATTTATCTGAAAATATTTGAGCTTCCTTGAAGTTTTAAATGCCTCTCTAAAGATCTACAAATTTTTCTAAAATCATGTTAATATTTTTTTTAATCGCCGAACTTCCCTGCAGTTCTGCAATTTTTACTGAAGATCCATTAACATTTTTGAGATTCTTCTGATTTTTTCAGAAGTCCTGTAATTTTTTTCAAAGTTCTGTAGCTTTGTTCTGAAGATCTACGAACTTTTCTGATGTTGACTAATGTTTCGAGGATCTCCAAACTTCTGTGAAATACCTTATATTTCACTGTAGATTCTTGAACTTGTCTGAAGTTATGCGAATTTTCCTGAAGATTTGCAAAATTTCGCTGTTAGTTTTTTGATTTGAAATTATTTTTGCTTGCTTGAAGTTTTGAAAATTTCTTTGAACATTTATCTGAAGATCTACGACCTCTCTTGTGATTTTGTTTTTATGAATTTCTGTTAATTACTTTTAATTTGTTTGTAGTTCTGTTCTCAAGATCAACGAACTACCCTGAAGCTCAACAAATTTTTCAGTAGATCTCCGACCCTCTCTGAAGCTCAAAAAATTTCTATATAGGCTCTCAGACCTGCTGTCTGGCATGCTTATTCTTATACAATACATGCTTCGTATGCTTCCTTTTGACGGTCGTTTCTTTTCTTCTTCGGTCGTTTCCTTTTTACGACGATTTTGATCCTCCACATACAAATCAGCGAAGAGCGAGCGTGACAAGACTCTCTGAATGAACTTGTCTCGTTCGCACACGTTGTCTTAGCTGTCAGATGCTTGTCAAGTTCAGTGTACTTAAGAAACGTTTCGAGAAACTGAGCGAAAAACTTCTTTTGAATTACGAATGAAGTGATAATGGGAAAATTCCCTGAGTGGAACCAAAATTCCCTGAATATTCCAGGTTTTTCCAGAAAAAATAAAATTCCCTGTAAAATCCCGGTTTTCCAGATTTTTTCAGGTAGTAGACACCCTGCCTGGGTCAATATTCTGGTCACAACCAAGGACCACTAGGATCAGTTTCGTGAATTGACCACTTTTACGGATGTGTCGGATCTTCCAGTGGACCATTACGTAGTCCCCTGGGGCCAAATTCCGGTGACAACTCTGAATTATGTCTAATAAGACGTCTATGAGTGGTTTCGAAAAAAACGCGAATCGGTTTCATGAATTGACCACTTTTAAGGATGTTCCGGGTTTTCTAAAAAAAATTCCCAAGAGGTGGTCATCTATCATGTTTAGCGGCGTCGCGTAACCTCACTTTTTACCTGTGCACCAACTTTCAATACCAGATTTAATTCCATATTCATACCCGAATCGGTTGGAAAAAAAAACACTTAAATCTTCTACTTAACTCGATATCTATCCATTGCAAGCAATATTTTGATAATTGTTTATGTTTTGAGAGTTGGTGCACAGGTAGATTGAGGTTAAGGCGAGGCCACTGATCATGTTAATAACTTTTCAGAAGACACCAGGAAGTTATCTCTTCAAATTATCCTACAATAAGATTGTGTCCCCAATTAGCTCTAATTCCATATGGTACGTGTATTTGTTAATACCAGTTCCTATTGTGCGGTCCCTATCAACCGTACTATAGGAATCTTGACTGTATTTGAATCATTGTTCAATCATAAAAGTGCTACTCCAAGCAATCAAAAAAACTCCTCCTAAGCAAGACCAACAAATCAAGAAGACTGGCAAGTTTACCAGAAACCAAGCGATAGATACAATGGCGCTGCGCTTGAGTGAAGGTGGAAGCAACGCATAGAAAAATGAGCAAATACACAAACCCTTCTTCTGAGGATGTAATCTTTGCTATCAAATTCGTTTGAAGCATTTACCTTTGAGCGGCAGATGACGCGATTGTACCTGTCTCATAGCGTTCGTATGCGAAAATGGAAGAGTTGCTAGTCTTATTCATTTGTTGTCTTCGCCATTATCCTAAATTCTCATTTAGTTACACTCCCGATCATAAGTTTAAGGACACCCCTAAAAAAACATGACATATTATATATGTTATGTTCATATCTCTGTCATGTTACGTCCAATTTTCGTTCTCTTTAGATAATTTGAAAGGTATTGAATGGAACTTTCCTCGTAGGCAATTTGTTCAATATAATTTTCAAATTTTGTGCGCAAAGTTAAAATATTCTTCAAAATTTGCTCTGAAGAATCGTGACTGATTTTCTCAGAATTGGGTTGGCCAAATTTTGAAATAAAAGTAGCAGTAGAACACTTATGCTATACCTATCATACCATTCAAATAACCTTTGGAGATCGAAAATTGAACGTAAAATGAGAGATCATTGAACAAAACATATTTGCATGGTTTTTTGGGGGTGTCCTTAAACTTATGATCGGTAGTGTAGTTCTCTGAGCTAATCAAGCTGTTAAGAACACAATAAACAGGAACACTATCTAGAAGTATTCAGAAAAATCATCATCTTCTCTTAAAGCTAGGTTTAGACAAGGCAAGTCAATTGATCAACTCAGTTGAAACCATGCCGTTTAACTGATTTGATCAACTCACTCGAATTGAAGAAAGTTGAACCAGGCGCAACTCTTCAAGCCGAATGAATTCAGCTGAGTTGAGCAATGCTTGCCTTGTCTAAACCCAGCTTAACATCTTACCATTCTTGCATTTACTCAAAGGCGCTCCAATGCGCTCAAGGGATTGATTTTTGTTGGACACAGATGGATCGAGCAGACAGATGGATCGAGCACCAATCTACTCGAAGGTTAATGTTTGTCAGACGCAATTAGGTGTCGGTAACATCTAAGTAGCAAGAGACGCACATACCAATTTGCAGCAACTAACAACGTCTGCGGAAATGGATTTTTATCTCAGTTCAACTCAGGAATGTGACAGCACCCAATGGGTGCTGAATTTATAATAGACTCAAAATTATCGAAATACCCTTTTATTTGAGTAACTTTTGCTCAACTTGTAAAAATGCAACATCAAGCATTGAACAACAAGCTTGCAACTCTATTTAAAATTTGAAATGAAAAACCATCCTCAAACTACACCGAGTAATTAAGTTGTTTGAAACTAGCGAAATCAGTCCTTCTTATTTATAGGTTTGTGTTATAAATAAATATTTCCCTGAATTTTATTTAAATTCCCTGAGATTTCCTGGTTTTTCAGTTTTTTTTTTCAGTTAGACGACACTAGCAATGGGCGATATTGTGAAAAGAATCGATACTTGAGTATCGAGATATCGCGCTGTCAAGATAATGTGTGATTGTGCATTTTTATGTTATGGTGTTTTTGAAACCATGATGAAATTAACGTTGATCAAAGTGGTTAAAAACTTTACACTGCGTATTTTTGTTTTATCAGAATTGCTACACATGTATACCTTGACGTAATGTACGTAACTGTTACTTTTCACGTTTCACGATTTCTAACATACAACAATTCGATCACCCAAATTAACATCTTGACAGTCCCGGCCTGGTCTAGAAATTGCAAAATTGACAATCATCAGATTTAATAACAGGTAAATCAAACAGAATTAATGTTGACGGCATAGATTATTGCATATTGATTGATTTCAAGATACCGCTGATAAAGTAGCATTAGGTAGACGCATTTGTTGACACAACTTGTCGCCAATTAGCTGATTCCGATAAGGAATTTCAACTTCTTGAGCGTTATCACTTCAACTGAAAAGATTACAAAATCAATACACATCGACTTAAAACCCGATAAAGATATTCCCCATTCCTCGGGCATAGTACTTGGTAGTAAGAAACAGCATGAGTACGACGGCGTAGATTGGAAAACAAGAAATACAAAAATACACACGAGAATGGCAGTGAACCAGTTGTCCAGGTCCAAAGAAGGTGAGTGTGGTTACAAACCTGCACAACCAGCAACGAACAAATACGCACAGCGACGACGACGACGACGACACCACGGTCAAAACCGTGGAAAACGAGCGAAGCTTAGCGTGGACACCAAACAGGAACAACAACAACAGAGGTGTAGAAACACGAACGAAAAAAAAAATGCTAATTTATGCCATCACGTTTTTTGAGAGCCGTTGTAAAGGTGCCTGAGCGTGGCACAAAAACTGTAACGATAATCCAATTAATACATTCACACATGCGCGCACTCTCGACTCACGGCTCTGGCTGGCTAGTGTAGTCGCTTCTTCGCGGTCTCACGTCAAGAGCCTTCTGCTGCCTTCCCCCCTTTTCGTGTACTCGGCTTCTCGGCAACACACAACCACGGACGAGACGGGGGAGCCTTGATTTAGGAACACTTTCGAGTTGCACCACACTACCGTCATCCGCACTAGTAGACAAACGACGACGTTATCACTTTGCAACCATCTCGCTGGATTTTCATTCGGAATGCATCACGTAACTTCTCTCTAAGCGGCAGAAAATTTCTTCGCTTGAAACAACCTGTAACTTTTTCGTTGAAAGAAACACCAATCAGCTCGCGAATTCAATATGAGGTCATCACTGCTTGTTTCACATCAACATCAAAACCACCTCACTTATGACTCATTGAAACACCTCGCTATTTTTTTTATATTCAGCAAAATGTGCACATTCCTTGCAAATTAAGTAGGTTCACTTTTCTTCAACGACAAACTCAAGTCGCAGGTACCTATCCGTAATGACCTTGCTGGTTTGACCATAAACGATCCGCACTATCCCCGAATCCCGCAGAGGTAGCCCAGTGCAATATTATCCACCACTTGAGACCTCCTTTTTTGCGTTTAAAAAGAAATCGTCCACCAACAAGACGACGCGACAGTGACGCGACGAACCGAACCACTTGGAAACGCAACACGACGAATACTAACTTGGACTTGGGGGAACCTGCGAAGAGCTATGACGATGACGACGACTTGGAATGGAACGTCAAACGCATCGCTATGTGAAGGTACACAGAACACGCTGCATGCACTAGCACACCTATAAACGCAACCATGATGCCACCACATAGGGTACCTCGGAACACAACGAAGACGACGACGACGGCGACAGACGGTCCGTGACAACCTCTTCATGGGGAAGTTAGTTGTGTGTAGAAAGAAAAGCAACAGAATGCCGCACGTATACAAACCTAAACTAGCGAAAAGGAACGAGTCATTAACGTGTGTGTGTTTGTGTGCGTGACTAGGTATCCGAGTAACGGTAGTGGTTTGGATCAACTAAAACGGCGAGTGGTTGTGGTGGGTTCTGTTGTTATTGCTGGTGTCCATCGAGACCGACCGATGATGATGGGTCGCAAAATAGCAACAACCCAACAACCGAGCTTGGCAACATAAACAGAGTGTGGCAGAAATGTGAGTGCGTGAGACGAGACTGAATTGCGATTCGGGAATTTTGTACCTATGACCAGAGATGCCAAAATTTAATGATGTTTAAGAAATTTTGTGATAAAAATTTGACATGCCTGGGAATTTTCAAAAATGCTTGCAAAATTTTTTTCACTAGACACGGCCTGATAATTACGAATAAAACTAGTAGGTGTAATATCCCGTTCACACTACAGCCTAGCTTAATTGATAAAGCCTATATTAATATCAGAATCAAACTAAGCACTAATTTAGATTTTAATTTTTTTTAATTGCAAAACTGTTCGGTAAAGTTTGAAAATCTGTAAAATATTAACAATTAATCATTCTGTCAAGCTTCTGCATTAATGTTCCATCAGATGTCACTGCTGTTGTTTGTGGTGACATCTATCGAAAACTACTCATAATCTGTTTTCCGTTAATTGTTCACAGAGGACAGTGCAGTGCAAAGCATGTCTGGTACCTCTATATATGCATTTAGATTATGTCTTATGATTATGCTCAATCAACTGTTCAGCAGGCAACATTGGTGTTTATGGCGCGTAGAATAGAGGACAAAAATCATGGCTACTATATCGCACTGCAGAATACAGTGTTGCCCACAAAACAGTTGCTTAATCTTGCCATATGATTATCAATCTCTTAAACAATTAATAACTATTTAATTTGACGTTTGACTGAAAAACAATTTTTTGCAAAGTTGTAGCTGATAAAAATTCCCATAATAATAACAATTGAATGTGTTAACAGTACAATATGTAAAAAGGCTAAAAGACAATCAACAAAAAGTTTTGTTTTCCCATAGTAATTTCCATATAAACATCAAATGGTTTGTGCCAAGTCAGTTTCTTATCCAATGAGTTTAAACTTTCGGAGGCTAATCAGAACCCGATTTGAAACCGTTTGAACACCGTGGAGCGAAAATTTTAAATTTTGCATCAGTCTATTGACTAGCCTATTGGTCCAAGCAAATCAATTAACGTATCCCATTCTAGTCGAAAGTCTAGTACTACACTATGTTTGTTTTGATTCGCTATGAAAGTTTGACAGATGAAATGAGGGGCTTGTGGATTTTCCTATGTTTCGAGGGGTGCATCGATTAGCTTGGGACTGAAGATAGTAGCAGAGCTGAGCCAAAAAGTTAAGCTCGTTTTTTCGGGACCTTCTGGTCTTAGAGTTGCTTCTATGGTATCATGAAGTTCGTAGAAATTCTCAGAAGTTCATAAGACTGCCTTCAAGTTCGAAGAACTTTCTCGAAGATCTGAGGACTTCCCTGAAGTTTGAAGGAATTAACTGAATATCTGAGGACTCTAAATTTAGAAGAGCTTCCCTAGAGTTCTTAAGGCTTTAAATATCGAAAGGTTTTCCAAAAGTTTGTGGGTCTTTCCTTAATTTCTTGGAAATTCCCCGAAGTTTGGAGAGCTCCCATGCATTTCGTAGGACTACCTGTTGTTAAATCGACTTCTCGGAAGTTCTAGGAACTTTTTTAAGCTTGGAGAACTATGATAAGTTCAGAGGACTTCCCAAGAGTATTGGAGACTTCTCTGAAGCTCGGAAAAAAAATCCATAAGTGTCATAGGACTATCCTTAAGTTTTAAGCAATGCCTAAATATCGTAGAAGTTACATTAAATCTGTAGAAAACTCTGTGAAATTCGTAGTTATTCCCCAAAGATTAAAGAACTTCCCTGAAGTTGGTAAGACTTCTCTGAAATCTGTAGAACTTCTCTAAAGGTTCAGAGAAATTTCCTGACCGTCGTAGGTCATCACAGTAGTTCACAGGATTTTCCTGAAACTTGTAAGACTTTCCCGAATTTTGTAGAACTTGCAAGAAGTTCGAAGGCCTTATCTGAAATTTTTAGAAATAGAACTTTTTTATTGAACATGTTGAACAGGTACTTCAAAGTAGTTACGCGTCGGCACTACTTAAGCCTGCTATCAATTAAGCACAAATCATACAAATACAAAATATATTTACTAAACTCTCAGGGTACATTTTGATCATCAATGTTTAGTTGTGTGAAAGATTTAGCTTGAACAAAATGGTTAGTTTTGACCTGGTATAAAAAGAAACTTTGACATACATAAAATTTAAAACCTGTTTAAATTATACAAACAAGATTATTTTCCTGGTGGACTTACGAAATTCCTGGTTTTGCCCCGGTTCCTGGTGAAAATAAATTCCCGACTTTTTCCCGGTTTTCCTGGTTCACTTGCCACCCTGCATATACAAGCGTCAATTTTGACATAGAATTAAGTCATAACAGACGCGAAATTAAACTCAATCAAACGTACTTTTCGTCGAGTAACGACTTTTTCAGTCTCGTAGCTTTTATTTTACAAGAAATATTTGTTTACGTCTGATCCTTTATGTCAAAGATGGATTCCGTCACGTGTAAAATTAGTTTTTTCTAAGTCTGTAAGGGAATTTTTCTCGAGATTTGTTACTTTTAAAAACTTTCGTGATCCAAGATTCAGAGGAAAAAATAAATAGATATGGAATTTTGTTAAGCAATCTGAGACTGAAAAAAATCACAAAATGTGAAATTTCGAAAATACAAATCCAAGGTTTGGAAGAAAATAAAAATCTACAGAATTTTTTAGGAGAGGCCTCCAGGCAATTTCGAAAATACAAATCCAAGGTTTGGAAGAAAATAAAAATCTACAGAATTTTTTAGGAGAGGCCTCCAGGCAATTTTGAGAAGTATTTCAAGAGCAATAAAGGTAAATTTCAAGGTAGTTCTCAAGAGACTATTACGGGGATTGTGAGGAAAATTTCAGGGAAATCTAGAGCAACTCAAAGAGATTTATGAGCAAATTTCCAAAGCATGCTGAGTAGCATTACAGGAAGATTCAGAAGAATGTTTCAAGAGAATTTCGAGAAGAAGTCTAAGGGAAACGAATTCTCAGGATAGTTGAACGGAAATAATTTGACTCACTTTGCATAAATCACCATCAAATACTAATCTCTACATTGATTTAATGATGTACGGACCGGTCATTCCGAGTGCTCTGTGGACCAGCTACTTTAGACCAGATGACCAAGAAAATGTGTTTTCGTTGAAGGAAGTAGGGTAGAGAGCTACTTCGGCCTAATCGCCCATTTTGGGCCTATCGAGCAGAAAACTTCAAATAAATCCATGATCTCAGAGTTAACAAGTCAATTATGCGTTTGGTACGATACTTTAGTTAATAAGCTACGGAACGAAGTCAATGAGAACACGTGATATGAAGGCTTGCACCCATTATTCCCAAAAACAAAAGAAGCGCTCCGACCAAATCATTTTTAGCTTCATCCGATAGGCCGAAGTGAATTCATTGGCGTTTCAATGGCGTTTCAATGCGTTAGGCCGAGTTAAGAATCCGTAGGCCGAGTTTGGCGTCCAGAAGCAGTGTTAGACTTTTGACAATATCTCAACGATTGGTTTCTCTTTATCAAATCTTACGGTACGTACGGAAAGGTAAATAAATTTGGAAGCCATCAGTAACAATAACATTCCGTTTGGTGCTAAACTGCGCTAGATTAAGAAAGACTAAGTGCGGGTTGTGCTTAACAGGCTGGAAATGGGGTAGTTAACCCTATCACAACACAAAACCATACACGAACGATAACCCACAAGAATTATTCCACAAATGGTAATAAACATAACAATTTTATTAGGGAGATGGTGGACATGAAGATCGAAATGGTACACGGAAAGAAAAAAAAGTAATTAATTTTGAGTTCTTTTCACTCAGGTTGGCAGTTCTGTGCGCCAACTTTAAATTGTTGTCATTCACTCGCATGTATACAGGATTACTTACTTTTACGTTGTTTTCACTCAACGTCAAGTTCAAACTACTCAAAACTGAGCTTGAAACAACTTACTCAATTTTAACTTGGCGCACGGAACTGTCGAGTTGGGTGAATAGAACTCAACTTTGGGTTGTTTTGCTCTTTTAGTTTTTGACAACAACAAGAGAGCAGGTGAGAGGCATCAACTCAGAAGTAAGTTTAAAGAACTCAACCGATGGGTAGTTTTGGTTCTTCGTGTAAGTTCCAAGTTCGCTGTTGTCGTCATGGTAGTGGCCGTTAGCAGTACCAATTAAATTAACCGCATGTTTAAATTTAATCATATTTTGTCGTGAAGTGTTGTGGTTTTGAGATGCTCGATTACCGTGAAGGGATCGTTCTGGCTTACTGAACAGAAAATCATGGGTAGTATTATATTCTTATATTCTACATATTTTCATATCTACGTATACATATAAAAATGAATATATGTTTTTCTGTCTGACCTTTATAGACTCGGAAACTACTGAACCGATCGGCGTGAAAATTTGTATGCAGGGGTTTTTGGGGCCGGGAAAGGTTCTTATGATGGTTCGAGACCCTTCTCTCTGTGGGGCTCCCATACAAATTAAACAGAAAAATATAGCATGCTTTTTTGATCCGGCGCATAAACTCAAGCTAATATTGGCTCCCGAGCAAGGCCGAGCACACTCAGCTAGTAAACATATAAATTCATTGAGTAGGGATTTGGATGGAGAGAGTGGAATTGCCAACTCCCTGTTGTTAAGATTTCATGAATTGAAGGTGGGCTCTTCTCCCCACTCATTGGAACATCCCTTCGTATGATGACTTGT